TAAAACTTTTTTTTTTTTTATTTTTTAGTTTAATATATATGTATAAAGACACTCATTTATTTTATTTTTTTTTTTATATATAATTATATGTAGTTTCTTTTCTTTTTTTTTTTATTTTTATTTGTTATATGTTTATATATATATATGTGTAAGAAATTATTTTTTTTTTAATTATATGTTTTATATATATGTAGTTATATATAAAATTGTATTTAAATTTTGTTTTTTATTTAAACTCTTTATTTAGATGAGACTGTTTTTTTTAATTTATATGTTTTAATTCGTTTTATTTAAATTTTATTTAAGCTCTTTTTTTGTTTTTTTTTTATTTTTTTATTTATCCTTCTACTGTTAATGTTAATTATAGGAAAATGTCTAGTTCAAATTCTGCCAATAACACAACATCTGCCTTTGATGCTGAAGATGATAAGCCACTGTGGAAATATGTGACTAGATTAGAAAAATCTGGTGCAAAGGGGGGGAATACTATACTTTCAATGTAACTTTTTGTCGGGTTACACGTAAAGGTTCATACACTAGGGTAAAAGCCCATTTGATGCAAATTAAAAATCAGGTGGATAGAACGTGTGCCCAAAAGTAACAAAGTAAGGATAAAGCAGATTTTGAGAGAGCAATTGCAGAAGCAGAGTTGACAATTGAAAAACTCTAGTTGAAGATAAGCCCATTGCCTCCTCCCAGTTCAAGTGCATCATTAGGTTTATGTTTTAAATGAACCAGAAGGAGATATATGGATCAAAAAAGGAAGAGGTCAACTGCTTTAGGGAGTGGAAGTAGTAGTAACCCTGTTATGAAAGCATTTAACATTGGGGCTCGAGAACGACGTAAATAGTGAGATAGCTAGAATGTTTTATTCGCAGGCTTGCCATTTCATTTGGCAAGAAATCCTTACTATGTTAGTGCATTTACTTTGCTGCAAATAACAACATACAAGGATATGTACCACCTGGGTATAACATGTTGAGAACTACATTGCTTCAAAAAAAAGGATAAACAATTGATAGGTTGTTAGATCCTACTATCGAGGCTCATGGAGAGAGAAGGGGGTGAGTATAGTCAGTGATGGATGGGAGTGATTCCCAACGAAGGCCATTAATAAAGTTTTATGGCTGTATACCGGAGGTGGGCCTATGTTTCTTAAAGCGGTTGAGTTGTTCAGGGGACAACAAAGGACAAATATTTATTTCCAACTTGATGAAGGAAGTAATTATGGAGGTTGGGCCTAAAAATGTGGTTCAAGTCATTACAGATATGCCCGCAAAATTGCAGGCAGCCGGGCACCTATATATTGAAGCACAATTTCCTCACATCTTTTGGACTCCTTGTGTTGTGCACACCTCAATCTTGCCTTGAAGAATATTTGTGCTGCCAAGAATGTGGAAAATAATTCAGTTGCATTTGAAGAGTGTAATTGGATTAAGTGAGGTTGTGGTGATGTGATGATGATCAAGATTTTATTTTTGTAATCATCTCCATGAGGTTGGCAATGTACAATGAGTTTGTGAGTTTGAAAACTATCTTTCAGTTGCCAGACACGGCTTTGCTTCTTCTATTGTCATGCTTAAAAGGGTCAAGTTTGATAAAGCAAGGTCTCCAAACAATGGTAATTCGAGTGACAAATGGAGTTGTATAGGGATGAATGATATTGCAAGGCCAAGTTTCGCTGAAGATAAGTTATTGGATGACATTTTGGTGGAGATCAAGCGTGACTAGCAACTTTCCTTTACTGCTCCTATTTATGACATGATTAGAGTTTGTGAACACCGATAGACCTCTCTGTCACTTAGTATATGACATGTGGGATACAATGATAGAAAAAGTGAAGAGTGGTGATATATAAGCATGAAGGAAAGCGGACTAGAAGATGAGTCCTACATTCTATAATGTATACATCAGAATTCTTGTAGACCGGTGAAGCAAGAACAAACACACCACATTCATGCTTGGCAACTCGATTGAATCCAAGGTCGAGATTACAACACAATTTACTATTTTTTATTAATTTATAGTTTAAATTATTCTTTCACATTTATAATGAAGTAGTACTTGTTTTTTCATTTTAGATATTATAGTGATGTGTGGCTTCACGAGGATCCAAGCCGAGATTCCCCCACATAGGGATGAGGAGGTTTGTCTTGAGAGAAAAAAGTGCTTGAAAAGGTTCTTTGATGATCCAATGGAGCGCACTAAAGCAAATTTGGAGTATGCTAAGTCTCAACAAAAGAGGGGCCATTTGCTGACCATTGATTCCATTGTGAGAATAGAATGTGAATATGGATCCTCATAGTTGGTGGGTTGCTTACGATGGTGCATTCTGCTGCGCCCACTCTTCAATTCTTTGGCTTTAAGGCTACTTGTGCAACCTTCTCTTCATCATGTGCTGAGAGGGATTGGAGTATATACTCATTTTTATCCATTTCATGGAATGAAGAACAAGAGATGACACTCCTCAACGTGCAGCAGGACTTGGTTTTGTCAACACCTCCGTGCTTATATCAGGAGAAACCACCCACAACTACCATGAATAGGGAGACCAAGTATGGATATCTCGGGCGACACATTTGGGCCCCGGTTGTTTGGGTCTATAGGAGAGGGTTATTGGACTGAGTAATACGCAAGTACTTACTAAAGTCTCTGTTTGTTTTGCAGAGAGAGTGGGACTATTAGTCCTTCGTTTGCTAATTACCCTTGGAAGGGGGATTTGGTAAGGAAGGAGGTAGAGATGGTATTAAAGAAAATGTGAAGGGGATTTAGAGAAGGTTTTTAATTATTTTTTATGTATAATTGGGACATTTTTTTTATACAATATAATGTTTAATTTTTTTATATTTTTTTTATCTTGTTTTGTATTATATTTATTAATAAAAATATATTTAACATATTCCTCAATTATTAATCCCCCTATCCACACTCATACTCTCCAATCACTCTCTTCGAGACCTATTTAATTCTCGACCTCTCTCACTCTCTCCACCGTCTTCGGACACAAGATTCCTGATAACAAATCCCACTGATATCTGAAGCTCTGGTCCTACATCGTCGATATCGTGATGTGCGAGTGTGCGGCGCTACTTTCGCGCGCTCCTAAATCCTTTTGATCTTGCGACTCTCGCTCAAAACTGCGACTCCCTTAGTGATCTTCATTTGAATGTATGTTGAGATATGCACTTGAGGGCGTTTGTCAATATCTGTCATCTTTTGTGGAGAGAGCGCTGGAGAGTGGATGGGTTGGAATGTTCGTATTAACATGCTCTCCTCTCCGCCACCACGAAGAACGAGATAGGTATGCTAACTGAATGATGAAGACTGTGCAAGACAATGTGCGAATCCTTCACTTGAAGTCTTATGAAAGGCCTACTATTCCTTATTTTCTTTTATGCGTTTTTTTTTTCCTTTATCTCTTGTCTCTATTTATGTTTTTTGTGAAGGATATTGTCTGCTGATGTTTAGGACTGATCTAGAGATATATATAATACACACACATATATATATAATGTTGGATGTTGGAAGTTGAATACTTTTGCCTCTCTGTGGTAATACTTATATTGTCAATTGTAATGTGTTATTAATTACCTTATTTAGTAGTCTTATTTGTCCATAGATTTGACCTGTAGAAGTGAGATGTGAAAATACAGTAATCATCAATGAAATCACACATTAATAGAACTTATATATTGCTTTATATCTTAGTTGAAATGATATATATATGTGAAAAAAGGTAAATTCGCTCCTAGTGTTCCCTGTCTCGTGTCACATAGCATCGCCTCTATTATTCCGTGAGTGAAATATTAGCATATCACAGTAGTTCTGAATCTTCTGTCGTTCGTATCTCTCGTGTTGCCGAGATAGTACGAGGCGCGGATACACTGTGCAAGTTAACTTGGAATTCATATAGTCCGATCTTATCGAACCCAATTCACATATAGAGTTGAATTTATCCTCGAGATAGAGCTAGAACCATCATTAAAGTCCAGTGTTGGCCCAATCTATAGTGTGCAAGTGCAGACTTATACTCCCTTAATTTCTTCTCATCTCCGCTTATGCTAGCTAATGGGTTTATTTTGAGCTAAGTATTCTATCTAAGACTGGGCGTGTGGTCAGCGCTATCAACCAATAATGAGTGTGTGCGCGAGAAAGCATATCTCATCTTTCGATAAGTGTATCACATGGAAAAATACACTTAGAGTTCCCAGCACTTCCGCAATACGAAGAACCATGGGTGAAAGTGCAATTTATGTGCGAGTTGCAGAAGTGTAGGCGGTGAACATTACATAACTTTATTAGTTGTGACTCCACCCGTGTTATTTACTCCCTCTTAATTTTACGCTTCATTCTGAGAGTATTTAATTATGGCAATATTATACTCTGTCCCTTGCGTCTCACCCTCACAATTAACAGCTTTTATTAAACGATTAGCTCCACCATTACATGCTGCCATAAAATTAATGAGAGGCCTCCTCTGTGCATCAGAGTCCATCCATCAGTATACTATACTCAACCCCTTCTCATCCATGTTTTTTAGTTTGTCCAATTACCTTTCAATATTTGCCTTTCTTTTTTTGAAGTAAAGGGTAGTCCTCAACAAATTATATCCAGGAGGGACTACCAACAATTGATTTCTCAGCCAAGCATATGAAAAGGCAATCCACAAAGTATGGATTCCTCAGCCAAATGGGAAAGGCAAACCGGGCTGAAATAGAAACATATTGGAGAATTAAAGAATGTAAGTGCTCTCTAACACTTTGATTTGAATGCACCTTATCTAAAGGCTAACTCCAATTGCCTTTTCTCTTTCTTGGTGCATAACCTTCCATTCTAAATGCTTCAACATCTTCTACACTGCCGTGGCTAGCACTAATTTGAGAGATGGTGGTGGTAAAGGAAACATTTTTATGTTCTTGCCATTTTTCTCGGTCCGCTTCTCGAATCTGCCTTTCGAATTTTCAGAAAGAAGATCACTCTGTTCTTTCACAACTTGCACACCACTCTAACTTCCATGGGCCAGTTAGTAGGCAACCAAATGGTGCTCTAACTCTAGAATATGACCCTTGGTACCTCAATGTTTACAAACAACTTACACTTAAATTTTGTATTACCACTCCTCCTTGCTCCCCTTCTAACTAATTTAACATAGCCCCAAAGAGGAGCATTTTCACGATTCTCCAGATTGATCAATGGAAGGAGCAACGAGCACTTGCAGCAGAGAACCTAATACGTGCTTGATCGAACTCATTTCCATATAAGCATAAAAAAAAAAATTATTTTTGATGATTAAAAATAATATTTGGATTAAATTTATTAACAATGTTGTGATCTTAATTTTTTTTTAACATCAGATTATAATTATTATTGTGATTTCTAATTTTTTTTTTAACATCAGGATTATTTAATTATAACATTTAGATTTATAATTATTTGTGACTAAAATATCAGATCCTATAATTATTAACACTTGCAGCAGATAAATTATTAACTTTTTTATCTTTTTTTTTTTTTTTTTTTCTAAATATGATCGGGGTTCAATACCTCTCTAATTTTTTTTTCGTTCTACATCAGATTATAACCTCTTGAAGAAGAAACAAGAAACAAGAAAAAAAATAAAAAAAATAGAGATGAAGAGATTCCTGACCAAGTTGTCTGGATGCTAGTGGTCTGATATGCGTGCAGAGGACGAATTGAAAACTAGATGGCTTTGCTGATCTTCTCGTATACAAAAAAAAAAAAAAAAAAAATGAGATGAAGAAGAAGAAACGAAGAAGATGAGAGAAGACGAGGGTGGAAGGAAGATTAAACAGAGAAGAAGAAGGCTAAGAAGAAGGCGAAGAAGAAGATGAAGACGAAGAAGAAGAAGACTCACCGGAACTCTTGCGTCGCCGTTGCCGGAAGGGAATGGTGGGTCGCCGTCGCCTCTTCGTGCTGTGTCGCCTCGCCTCTTTGCTCGACTGATGACAGATTAGGGCAAGAGTGATGACATTAGGGCAAAAGAAATTCATTCGTAATTTCGTAAATATCTTTTTTTTTTTTTTAATTTTTCTTAATATTGCTCCGGTGCCCCTCAATTCTCCAGAAAATTTGATTTCTGCCCCGCCGTACCCAAAACGCACCAAAGGCGTACCCATGCCGTACCCGAGCCGTACCCATGGCGTACCCGACAGAGGCAGACGTACCCGACTACTTTTTGCCGTACCCGGTACGCGTGCAGCCATACCGGTGCGCGTACCCGCACCCGGTAAGTACCCGGTGCGTGTACGGCACTATTTTTGGAGTACCCGTGCTTCATAGCCCATTATGCGTTCACTGGATTTCTCATTTTTGTTCATGCCCTAGTTGGGTTTTCTATTTTATGTGGTTTTGTTTTTGAGTCAGTTACTCACAGATTCTTATTGCTGCAATTCGAATGGATTTACTTGGTTTTTGAGAGTTATGGCTGTTAGTTTATACACAAACATTTCTTTCTCGATGGTGCTTTTTTCCTTTTTATCATAGATAGGGGATGCTGTCTAGGCTTGTCTAAGCTTTTGGAAGCCACCTTCGGGAGTGTTATGTTCTTTAATCACCCTTTAATATCAAGTGCAGATAGGATATTCGGTTGTTGAGTGTATTTCATGTATTATGTTCGTCCATATAGTTCCTGGCTTGGTACATGTGTTTGGGTAGGGTTGTAGGGTCTGGAATCCACTAAGGGGTCCAAGATATGTATTAGGGAAATCCAACTATATGAGGGAGGGACAAAACTCATTGGTATCTGTTTTGGATGTTTTCGATTGTCTACTATTGGTGTCAATTTTGGATATTTTAGATTGTCTTAGGCCTGTAATCTCTCAGTTTATGATGGATTTCTCTTTTGCCAATAGCGTACACAGGTTTTTGCCAAACTGTATATTCTCTATGTGTGCTTTTATCTTTGTTGTGTTCGTGTGGATTGCGGGAGTGCTTCCATGTGCGAAATAGTGAATACAATTCGAATAATAGCAATTGAGGAATATTAAATCAAGGCAATTTCATGGCTACACCTTTGGCAATGTGTTGAAATTAAGGGATAATTAATAGCTTATTCTCTATCGAGAGCATGTAAATCATAGACAAATTGGAAAATTCCCAGTGGGTTTGGTAAAAGGTGAAAAGAAAGCAAATCTTGTATGGAGTTTATAGGAATGGTTGCGTGAAGTATATATAGGAGTGCTAGAGTGAAAAATATAAAAGGAGGAAAAATTGCTGAGGGGGAGGGTTCAATGTGATTTTCAGACCTCTAAATTTCAATGAGTGCCATTGGGATATGCAAACTTTGTGACATCCAACATGAGCCACCAAAGAGAGATGTGGGGAAGAGGAGTGGATGAGAAAAGAAGAGAAGAAGGACAAGAGATGAAAAGAATAAGATATAGGATAGTGTTGCCAATTACACACTTAAGTTTCTGCCCAAGCACCTTATGACACTTGTAATGACTTCTTGACAGCATTTTTTGTGTGAATATTGTAACATCTACTTTTTGTATTTTTAATTATGCTTGATTGAACATGGAGGACATTCCCTCTTGTTAGTTCAAGGTGACTAAATTTTCATGTGCAGTCATATTTTTTTGATAAGTAGTTTTCATGTGACAACTTTAATTGAAAATCACGCTGAGCTGTGAGCAATTATGGAAGAGAGGGAAAATTGTATTTTATTGGATTAACTACTCTAAGCTTAATCACATAGCTTATACAAAATAAATAGAGAACAAAACTCTAATTAATCCTATAGACTAAAGTACCCCTACAGAAAATATAAAATGACCAAAATACATATCACATGTGCTATCTCTGTTTTCATGTGCAAGTTGCCTGACAAGTGTGGATGTGGATAAACCCCTATAAGAAGGCAATGTGCACATTAATAACTATGACAAAGTGCACAATCCCAACCCTAGTGGTCAAGTAGTATTGCTGCCTCCTTAGCTGCTACTTTACTTGCTTGGTTGCTAGCAATAGTCTCATTTGATTGGCTCTTTCGAAGAAGTGACTAATAAAAAATAGTAAACAAGAAATAAAATTCACATTTTGGTCTTCTCAGGATTTGAATTGCTTGCAAATACAGCTCTTTTACTTGCTCTACATCATTGTGCATTTTATATGTTCTCTTACAAATATCTTTTCAAGGAGGGTTGCTATCAAAATTCTGTTTGCTAACCCTAGTGCTCCTTGCAGGTCAGGTCCAAGAAGATGAGGTGGTTGACAGTAAGATCTTGCCATACTGTAGCATAGACAAGAAAGAGAAGAAGTCATTGGGCGAGCTTGAACAAGAATTTCTTCAAGCACTACAAGTAATAAAACATATTATTTTTAGTTTGTTTTGTTTTGGTTTGTTTTTTAAATACACAAATTTATTGTGTCTTAGAATTCTGCTCAGACTACAGTTCTACAGTGATTAAAATACTTCTGATTGTCCTACTGATTGTAGAATCAGAAGTATTATGCAGCGTTCTAGAATTTGGAAAAAAAAAGAGCAATGGTTTCATTCTGTTAATTCTGCTTTTGATTATATATTTAGTTTTGCTGCTTTTTATGCAAGGGATTTGAGGTTTGTTTTTGGTTTCTGTTGTAGGCTTTTTATTATGAGGGAAGGGCTATTATGTCAAATGATGAATTTGATAACCTCAAGGAAGAACTAATGTGGGAAGGAAGCAGCATTGTCATGCTAAGTATGGACTAAATTCTACATATGGAGCCTCCACCTTTTATGGTATCCTTTCATCAAATTTTGAACCTTTAAGATGCCATTGCATAACTTTATTGGTTCATGTACAGCTTCTGATGAACAGAAATTTCTCGAAGCTTCAATGGCTTATGTAGCTGGGAAGCCAATAATGAGCGATGAGGAGTATGACAAACTGAAGATGAAACTAAAGGTTTGTTCACATTGGCTTCATCCTCATATGCACATTCTTCAATTAACAATATACATTTAATTTATCTTAAAATTTACTTTCGAATTTTAAGGGGTTGCTAAGTATTGATCATTCATTATTATAGCATGGGAACGCATGTTTGAAGAATCCAAGCCTACTTGTTACTCTTTTGTTGACTTTTAGTTCACAAATCTATCATGTCTAGTTTGATAATTTTAAATTTTTGGATAAACTACCAATAAGTGCTAATGATTGGACTTAATTCTCATCAAGTCCTATTGAAAATAATTCTTAATAAAATCGTCGTTAAAAATAATTTTTTGTGACTGTTTTTTGCATATATCGCTAAAATTTGACAATTAATGATTTTTTTTTTTTGTCATGGTTTTTATAAATTGCCTCTAAAACTTCCGGTCGCGAACAGTGGTTCGATTGATGATGAAGAAAGAGAATTCTTGGTTTTTTTTCTATGGTGACTATTTGGAACTATCGCTAAAAGTTAAAAATTAGTGACTTTTTTTCGTGAGAATTTTTAAACTGTCGCTGAAATTTTACAATTAGTGAAGCTTTTTGATAGTGTTTGATGAAAAATGCCATTAATTCTCACAGGACCTATTGGACAATAAGTCCATTTATTAGGACTTACATGTAAGTCCCCCTAAATTTTTTCCATGGTGATCCACAGTCCTGGGGTTTCTGGCCTTGGATGACAATGTCACTATCGACTTTGATTTATGTAGATTATACTATCACCAATTACTTTAGGACTCCCAAAGATACTGCTGTCCTTTCCTGTATAATAATATATCCAAGTGAGAAAAGGAGAAAAGCAGCTTACTAAGACCGGGGCCATAGCTTCTGTTCTATTAGAATTGTGCTTGTATCTGGCAGGCAATAGTTGCATTACTTAAGATGATTGCTTTTGATTCTACATTGTAAGTGGTCAAGTTGTTGAGTTGTGGAGCAAATAATTTACTGAAGATATAGCAAAGCAAATGCAATCAATATTCTGAGGAGGTTTGGAAAATATCATAGAAATTGGAGGCTTCAATTAGAGAGTCGTCTTCTAGTAGTTTTGTATAATTGGATGGAGAGGAAGGTTGATCCGGATATGTTTTTTTCAAAGATTTTTTTGGATGAAGTGATTGGTTAATGCTTGCTTTTTCTCCCCAATTTGGGGATGCCTTTTTTGTATTCTTTGCATTATCTTGATGTTTTCTTAATAAAGTTTGTTCATTTATCCAAAAAAAAAAAAAAGGGAAAACAAAAAAAAGAAAAAAAAGGAATTTCTTGACAATGATTCATTGAAAATAAACTACGTTTCAATTGGAAATGGGAATGAGACTCATGTTTTTGGTTGAATTTGTAGATGCTAAATATCCAATACAATACTTCTTGAAAGTGTCACCACTTATCCTAAGGAAGTTTAAATCTCAACACAATGTACCTGGGTCCAAGACCTACTTTCTTTGTGAAGGAAGAAGGCTATTCTAGTTGACTTGATCTGTGTGTATGCCTTCGTTGCTTGCAGCTATTAATAAGTACACATGCACTTACAGTGGTTGCATGTGTGTGTTTACCTTTATAATTTGTTTCCCAGATATGTATCATTCTTTGTTCTACAATGGTCAATTCATTTATAGCAGATTAACTCCTTTATTACTTGCATAGAACTCTGAAACCTTGCTGAAGAAACTAGTCCAACATCTTTTGTGGTTGTGTGGCTGGTAAGTATTCATGCATATTTTTTTATGTGGTTGAAATGTTTGTGGCTGAAGCTATTTGGGAAGATGGATTATAATCCACTCGTAGATGTTGTTATTTCCTGATTTCTTATCATAGAAAGTTAGGGAAACAATTAAACTTGCACTTCCAGTTGTTCCTCTATATCTGTTATTTTATTGCTTTCTACTGGTGACTTTGTTTCATCCTTTCTGTCTCCAGATGGATGGGAGTGACATTGTAGTTGAGGGTCCACGATGCAGTCTCCGCAGTAGAAAGGTGTGTTCTGTTGCTATATTATTTACTTTTTTTTCAATTTGCGGTTTTGTGTGTTTATGCTTACTTAATACAAGTTAATTTTTGTATGGATACAAATACAAGTACAATAATTTTATCGTAGCCTTTTATTTCTGGAATGATTGTTGGGGAATTAGTTTAAATATTCCCTACAGATTGATGTTACCGGTCCTCTCTCATCTATCTTTCAGGTAACCCTTCTTTTTTTTTTCAAAGCAGAGTCCCCTGTTGTATCCTATGCTATATGGATTTAATTTTGATTAAGGAAAAAGTAGCTTGCTTGAGCATCATGCCAAGTTGTGGGTTTAATCTCTTTAATGGATGCATGTCATCCCTAAACTAGGGAGCTGTCTCTAATTAAATGGGTTTTGCCTTGGACAGTATCTTTCTAAAGGAGGAAAGCTCACCTTAACTGATAGCCTTCCTACTTTTTGTCAGTTTTCACCATCCTTGCTTTTGTGACCAAGGAATTGGAACAACGTCAAAGAAACTTATCATGGGGTGGGGTGGGGTCGGTTTCAACCATGTTTATGGGGATCAAAAAGACATTGGATAAAAAGTATTTAGTGATTTATTTAGGAATTATTTTTTATTTATTGGATTTTATTACTTTATTAGGTTATTTTATTATAATTCAATTATTGTAGTGTTTTATTTTTGCTAACTTCAATTTAATTAGGGCTTCCTATTATGCCTAAATATATGGCTTTATGTAATAGTTTTAGGGCACCAAACTTGGATGAATGTTGATTGGTGATAATTGAACCGAACCAAACCAAACCGAACCGAACCAAACCAAGTCTTAAGTCCCATCAAATAGGGTCGGTTACATGAATCTTTCTTCTCTACTCGACTCTATTTAATGCCATTTCATTAGACAAATTAAGGAGATTCATATCTCTAGTTGCTTCACTAGTCCACGTCAATCTAGGTCTGCCTCTTCTCCTAATACTTCCATCTACCGTCACTGTATCGCATCTTTTTACTACTGTCTCTGTTGGTTTCCGTTGTATATTACTAAACTATCTTAATCTATTCTTTCTTAACTTATCTTTTATCAGTATTACTCTTACCCATTCTCAAATATATTCATTCTTAATTTTGTCTTTTCTAGTATTGCCACACATCTACTTTAGTATCCTCATCTCAGCAACACTTCTCTTATTTACATGTTGTTTGTTAGTTGCTTAACATTCCGTCCCATACAATATCGTTGGTCTAATAGCCATTCTATAGAACTTCCCTTTTAATTTAGTGGGTACTTGTTTATCACACACTATCCCAGACGCACTCCATTTAAGCCACCCTGCCTTAATTCAATGGACCACATACGCTTCAATCTCTCCAGCCGTTGTGATAATCGATCCTAAATAACGAAAATGTTCACTCTTAGGTAGTACTTGGTCCTCAATCTTTACTTCTCCTCTACTTCCATTGTTACTGTTACTAAAATTACACTCCATGTACTTGTCTTAGTTCTGTTTATTCTAAATCCTTTAGATTCAAGTGCTTCCCTCCATGTCTCTAACTTAGTGTTAACTCCTTCTCTAGTCTCATCCACTTGCACGATATCATCTGCAAAAAGCATACACCATGGCTTATCATCCTGAATATTTTTGTTTACTCATCCATAACTAAAACAAAAAGATATGGATTTAAGGTTGATCCTTCGTGAAATCCTATAATAATTGGAAATTCACTTGTTTTTCTAGCCATTGATCTAATAGTGGTCACCACACCTTCATACATATACCTAATCAAATCAATGTAACCTTTTATCATCCCCTTCTTTTCTAACATTTACCAGATTCTATCCCGAGGCACTCTATCATATGTTTTCTCAAAATTCAAAAAAACTAGATGAATGTCTCTTTTCTTATATCTATACTTTTCTATTACTCTTCTCAAAAGATAGATCACTTCCATTATTGATCTACTAGGCATAAATCCAAATTGATTCTCTGACACCTTTGTTATATCTCGTAATTGATGTTTCATCACTCTCTCCCTCACTTTCATTATACAACACATTAGCTTGATTCATCTATAGTTGTTGGAGTTCTAGACATCTTCTTTATTCTTATAGATTGGAACTAAAATACTTTTCCTTCACTCAGCTAACATTTTTCTAGTCAATAAAATCTTACTAAATGACATAGTCAACCAAGCAACCCTCTTCTTATCCAAACATTTCCAAGCTTTAATAGGGATTTCATCGGATCCTAAAGTTTTATTCGATTTCTTTTCCTTAAGTGCAATCTCCACTTCAAAGTTCCTAATTTAACAACTTCTCAAAATATTTTTCCGCCTCTCCTTAATCTCTCCATCCTTCACCAACACCTTAGAGTCTTCACTCCTGATGCACTTAATTTGTTTAAAGTCCCTTGTTTTTCTCTCCCTTATTTTGGCAAGTTTGTTTATGAAGTAGGAACACGGACACGGACACGGATACAGGACACGACAATTTTCAAAAAATGGGGACACAGACACGACGGAGGACACGGCGAATTTTATTATTATTTTTGTATGTTATGTAGATTCATATTACATTTATCTTAAATCAAAATTAACAAACACTAACATAGTAACATTAATTTAATAAATATAATCACTATATTTAAATAAATTAATAGATCATTCATTCAAAAAAAAGTCATAATAAACGATAACAAGAGCTAAGACAAGAAGGGAAAAACATTCAACATCCAACAATATTCTTCACAAAAGCACTAAATAAGAGGCAAAAAAAAAAAAAAAAAGAAAAAAAAGTGAGCCCCGCCGTGCCCCATGTTGTGTCCTCTACAAAAAAATCATTAAATTAACGGGACACGCCAGATGGCGTGTCTCGTATGTGTTCCCAGATCCCCGGCATGTCCGTGTGTCGGACACCGCCATAACACCTATTTTGGAGTGTCCATGCTTCATAAAAGTTTGTATATCCTCTTGTCTCCCTCCTTAATTACTAGTCTAGTGTATAGGTATATCATAGGCTTTCAACTAGTCTCTCTCACAATTTTTTTGACCTCCTTATTAGCTAATCTGTAGCCCTAAGATTCTTCTCAGTTCTATCATTCTGTCACTTTTTAAAGTATTATTTTTTCATTTTATTACCCGCTCGAGTCTCCTCCTCCACCACCAAGTTTACCTAAAGTTAGGTCCCTTTCTTTTCGGACCTCCCGAGAACTTCATTGAGATTCTCCTCATATAATTGACCATTGAGTTCCACATAGTGTTAGTATCATCTTCTAAGTCTCAATACTTTTTTTATCAATTCTATTATTAATATTTATAATTATCTCCTTTTATGTCCTACGAACGCCATTTCCTTCTTAGTTTGGTAATTGCACCTTTAAGGCACAAATTTAGTACCAAAATCCTATTTGAGATATCAGGCTCTCTCCAGGAATCACCTTACCGTTACTGCATTTTAGACGGTCCACTTTTCTTACTAGAAAGTAATCTATTTGGTTCCTAATTGACCCACTTTAAAGGTTATCAAATGCCTCCTCTTTTTTTTCCTTATACATAGTATTGCCCACCACTAGATCAGAAGTCAACGCAAAATCTAAAATACTCTCCCCAACCTTATTTCTACCACCAAAGCTATACACACCATCAAGGTTCTGAAAAAGCGGTTGCGGTCGCCGTAACGGTGGCGGTGACGCGGTTGCGGGGTGTAAAGACCGTAGTGTAACGGTTGCGGTAACCGGAACCGTGAATTTTTTTATTTTTTGCACAATTTTGAAAAAAAACTTACCGATACGCATATTTTTTTTCCATGATCATATTTATTGGGTTAAAAATAATATTTGATCAATTTTTATAAATTTTTAAGTATGAGCAATATATTTCATATTTTTAAATCACTATAAATTGAGTTTTTTACATTTTATTTTATAATTAATGACTTATATTTAAAAAAAATTAATCACTAACTATTATACATAAGATAAACAATGACAAAAGTAAGAGAATAAATAAGAGGCTAATATATATATATATATATACATATTATTAACCAAGCCAAATAGATAATGACCACACTTATTATTATTATTATTATGATTTTTTCAAAACAATATATAGATAGACAACACAAACAAAATGGTTTAGTGATACAGCTGAATAGAAATAGCATAGGTCTTACCAGTTTCAACAAAATTAATAACATGTTCTTCATCTTCCCTCTCATCTATTTCTTGCTCCTCATTTTCTCTCTTTATCTTCTCTCTCCTCTCTTCTCTCTATCCCTCTTCCCCCATTTTTAGCTTTTTTTTGTGTTTTTTTTCGGAAGAAACAGTTTTGGAACCGTTACGTAACGTGCGTAACAGGCCGTTACGGCTGTACAGCACGTTACGACCGCTACGGGAGCCGCTACGGCCGACACACCTGTGAATCTCAATCACAACTGCAAAAGCGGCCGTAACGGGTGGCGGTAACCGCCAAAAACCGTTACGTAACGGGTTACGTAACGGTTGCGGCCGCTTTTTAAAACCTTGCACACCATGCATCCTCTCATATCCTAGTTTATCTATTCTTACATGGCCGTTGAAATCACCACCTATAATTAGGTTTTCTCCTATGGGTATCTTCTGTAATACCTCATCCATTCAGTCTCAAAAATCTCTCTTAGTTTGATCATCTAATCTTACTTCGGAGGCGTATGCACTAATAACGTTCATTATATTATCTCCAATAATTAGTTTAATTAATATAATCCTATCACATTTCCTAATTATTTTGGGGTTGTGTTTCGCATTTATCTTTGTTCTTCTATTCTTCTTACTCATTTCCCCATTATGTGCATTGCACACTGTGAATCAGCAGATGTATTTATTATTGAATGTTATAGAAGATTATGTGGATTGACTGCGAACAAATTCAATAAATTTCAGCGTCTATTTCATGAACTTAGAATACGAGGCTTGTACATTGGTATTCTGTTTCCTTTGTGCGCACATATTAATGAGTAATGACTATCACCTTTCCTAATTGTTTTGGGGTTGTGTTTCCCATTTATCTTTGTTCTTCTGTTCTTCTTACTCATTTCCCCATTTATGTGCATTGCACACTATGAATCAGCAGATGTATTTATTATTGAATGTTATAGAAGATTATATGGATTGACTGCGAACAAATTCAATAAATTTCAGCGTCTATTTCATGAACTCAGAATACTAGGCTTGTACATTGGTATTCTGTTTCCTTTGTGTGCACATATTAATGAGTAATGACCTTGGCACTAGTTGTATATAGTTGTAAACTAAGAGCTGGCATCAGTGCTATGTGATCTTTGAATAGTTATTGGGAAAAATTGTTGTTCCTAAACGTCATCTGTTTAAAGTTGACTACCTTTTTGTCACACCTGATGACACTTTTAGTGGGTGTATGCTTGTGCAAACCTGAGCTGAGCCTTGAGTTTTCTTGAACTGATTTACCTTTGTCTTGTAGGTTTACAGTGACCTGTCCGTTGACTATTTCAAGATGTTCCTCTTGAATGTACCTGCTGCTCTCATTGCACTAACATTGTAAGTAATATTGTATCTTTATGTTGCCATAGATCTTCTGCAGTATGTCTTTTTATGCTGTTTTATTTAATGATCTCTTGCCATTGGTTAGCATCTCACTGTTGTTATCTCGTCTCCAAAAGGTGTATTTAATCGAACGTAGTTTGTGTTTGCCATTTCAGCATCAAAAGGGTCATAACCCACCATTTTGGATAATTTTGGATAAATGTGCTAAAATTAACATATCTGAGTTGTTTTTATTCATATGGATTTCAGTCTTATTTGTTTATTTCTTTATTGGTCCGCAATGAATTGCCAACCATTGTGTTTGAGATTCGGTTGCTGAGTCAGATAATTCACCAACGTGTAACATTTAATGTGTGTAACATTTAATGTATTTCATGAAGTTGTTAAGTGGTAGAGAATAAACCAGCATCCTCCTTGTCTTCTTTTTCTCTTCATACATGTGGCGTATAGTTTTCTTCTCTGTGCTTATGGAAGAGAGTTGTGTTTGCTGACGAGATAAAAAGTAGAAACAAGTAGGAACATTAAGATAAGAGAATATATTGCCTGATGCCCGTGTTGCCTGAAATTTTGGCGAAAATATCACTGACATCTCTCTTTTTTCCCCCCTCTATTTTTGGGAACGATATTTTTATACAACTATTTTGAAAGCCTACTCCGTTGCTTATAGACAATAATGATGCTGGTGATGATTCACAAAATATAGCCATATCTTGCCGCTTGTTTGAAGCCATGGTCTAGAGAGCTTTGTGTGATGTTTCTAGCCTTGTTTGGAGTGTATTGTGTTTTCCTAGAAGTGTGGGTAACTGTCTTCGTTGTTAGAAGAGAAGGAGGGGGTAGAGAAGGAAGAAAGCATGGTTGTTGGATTCTTTGATTGTGATGTAGATTGTTTGGGAAGAAAGGAATTGGAGATCTTTCGAAGGACAAGAACTGAGAAACCTATTTGTAAGTTGATGTGACACCCATGTACCTCACAGCTCATGCTGTTTGTTAACCGTAATTCATCAACCCAATTACCATAGCGAAAGAAGTTGTTAATAATAGATCACCTAAAAAAATAGGTAAAAGAAATTTCCATACGAGATTGAATAGTTTGTCCATTATCAGCCTCGGTAAAATCCATATTTTGTCTTCTTTTGTATCATCGAGTGTTGGGAGCGTTGAACCTTTCAATATAGCTACTTTTGGATTATGTAGTTTTTTGAGTGTAAAGAGTAGGTATGTAGGATGTTTTGATTCTTTGCCTTTTGCATTCAGGTGGCATCATCTCTTATTGCTTTTCTTGATAAACTATTACTTATCCCAAAAAAATCCTCATATTAATGTGTCTGCATCATGCTTTAGAGGATTGCAAACACACTGGGAAATTTTAAAAAAAAGGCAAATCTTGTACCATCTGATTGGTGTGAACATCCCAGGAACATGCAACATTCTAAAGCTAAGCTTTTTAAATTTATCTGCCCTTTTGGTTCAAATTTTTGTCATCCTTAGCAGATTGGTTTTCAAGTGATGAATTTAAATTAATGAAATTGCCTTTGAATGAGTAATTTTCTTGAATTTAATTTTCTAAAGGTCGTTGTTTGCTGACATTTATAAATAAAAAGCATATATGTTTTGAATGTGATTGTAGAACTTTATAGTAATTAATAGCCTGTCTGGCTGGCGATGCGATATTGTACATTTGTTGGAGGTTAAAAAATGTGCACACTTCTGTATTTTTTTTGGTAATTTTCTTAACTAATGAAGATTCATCTGGTAGTGATGGCAGAAGGCTATTTTTGTGGATCTGAATTTACAGCATTTTTTGATGCTCAACAAGGTTTTTGTCATTTTTCTTGTTTTTACAGGTTTTTCTTCCTGGATGATTTGACTGGATTCGAGATCACATATCTTTTGGAGGTAAATTTTTATTTTTATAGCTTTTTCTCATTCTCAAATGGACTGTATGGAACACTGAGGTGGTAAGATGCAAATTGTTTGAAATACACAGTTGGCTGACAGTTTTGAGATGTACTTTTGGCCTTTCTGAGTGACCACAATTTTGATACATGATGAAACCTGTTGATCAATAGGATTATCCCTAGTCAAATCACAGCTGAACAAGTTTGCTCGACCAATTCTCTAGGCAACTATTCATAATTTTCTACAGAATTTAATTTCGTTGTAGATAGAAGTTTCTCAGCATCTCTAAATACTATAAAAACAAAGTTCTTCCTAGGCTGGTAGTTGGCCTGTTACAACCAAAGTTTATTAGAGATTAATTATACATTATGAACGGAGGAAGAAAAAAAAAAAGGGAATGGTTTTTAAGTTGAACACGTTGACATATTGTAACAGCTTTTGCGATTCTGTATTTGTAAAAGCTTTTGGTTCTCTTTTTGGAAGAAAGAGGAGTGAGTAGACTATTTTCCTTCAAGAATAGGGATAAGAGTGGGTTATTGATTTCCCACTAAAGCTACCATCTCAGTTTGCTGAGAACCTTATTTGGACAGCAAGTTCTTCGACATTTACTTAATGGGAAAGTGAGGGTTCAGTTGATTAGGTTGGGATTTTTTATGTAGTTGTCCAAAAGGAATGGTTTCTCTAAGAAGGTATTCATTATTCTGAGATTTGTGAGTAATCCAAACTTGCATGCACTTATTTGTGATTCTTGTTAGATTTGGGAATTTCCTGTTAGTACAATTCTAAAATGAGTTTTACTCTTTCAAATACATTAGTAGTTCAACTATTCCTCATCATTACCATGCATGTGTCACCTGAATGTGTGCAATGCATGTATGGAATTCCGAATCATTACTCTTGGTTAAATTGTGAATTTCTGGTCATTACAATG